ATCTAGGGTCGGTTTGTGTGCTCCTATGAGTTGTCATTTTTGACCATGTTACCAGGCAGGATGGATATTATATGTGCCCTAGCCTATGATATGTTCTACTCTTGTATGCTGGGTTAGGCAGTGATGTGGTATGATTATTTCCCACGCAGGTAGTGATTCTGTTCAGGCCTTATGTCGATGCGGGCAAGATAGCCCTCGTGATGTTGAATTGCTTATTGCACCTTAGTCGTGCTTGCTTCTTTCATGTTTTAGCACTTTCATTTATTTTCCCACAGTTTTATTTGTGCACTCTGTTGTACTTGATTTCAGTATTCATGTGATCAGTGAGCCCGAGCATTTTGGCTCGACGAGTATTTGGGAGCGGGCTGCACGCCGCAGCAGATGTTATGTGGTATACTGGCTTGATAAGTATTTGGGAGCGGGCTGCACGCCGCAGCGGATGTTATATGAGATACCCTTTCCTTGTTTTTATTTGGGGTTCTGCTTTTCCTCTGTGGAACAATTTGATGAAAACTATATTTTCGTTGTTGCACATGTTACACTTGTTAGAAAATTCTTCTACTCTGCTTTTCCTTACTTGTGTTACGTAATTGAGTTATTGCTGGTTCAGTGTACGAGCTGTGTAGTGTGAGAATTTGTGTGTTTCCATGATGATTCATCAGTTGGGCTGCGTGTATTGGTCGAGATGTGGTTCTTAGACCTGAGAGTGGTACTATGGCATTGGGAGTGAGGAGTGTTTGGAAGTATGTGGGTATTTCTGCTAAGATTTGGATAATGGCCCTGGCGGGAGAGAGAGTTTCTTGACTTGTTGACTTCATAGGCGGCTATGAATTCCCGCGCGTTTCTTTATCATGGACAATGATGTGGAGGTCCGGAATAAGGTTATATTCAATGTAAGGTGTGTTGCCGGCACCCAGGGTATTATTTGAACAGCTATGGTGGTCAGAGGTTATTGCTAGGGGCAATGAGTTGTGTGGGACAGCATGTGATTGTATTTGGGATTGGAATTTTTTGCCCGATTCAGCTTCTTTAGGTGTGTTTAATGTGATGATGTGGAATTCGGGTCCCATGATGAATTTCAGATGATGAGGTTTGGGTTCTTTTCTAAGGTTATGGACTAAGGAGGAGATGAGATCGTTAGTTAAGTGACATTGTCAGTTCTTCATAGGTTAGGTGATGGGGAAACAACCCCGGGTGTATGTATGGTGAGCTCATGCAGTGGTTCGATGGCTTTGGAGCGACTCCGGGCACGTTTGAGGACGAACGCATGTTTAAGTGGAGGAGGATGTAACGACCCGACTGGTCGTTTTGAGCAATTGCACCCGCTTCGGTAGTTTGAGGTCTCGAGCAGCTTCACATTATGTATATCGACTTGTGTAGTGAAAAATTTGACCGGAATTGGACTTTTCAGTAAACGGCCTCGGAATGGGTCGTGGGTGATCCCAACAGCTTCGTATGGTGATTTTGGACTTAGGAGCGCATTCGGTTTCGGATTTGGAGGTCCATAGGGTAATTTGAGGTGTTTCGGCGAAAGTTGGAAAAGTTGAAGTTTTGACCCATAGTTGACTTTTTTGATATCGGGGTCGGAATGTGATTCTGAGAGTTGACTTTTTGATATCGGGGTCGGAATCCAATTCTGAAAAATGGAACAGCTCCATTATGTCATTTATGACTTGTGTGCAAAATTTGAAGTCATTCCGGATTGATTTGATATGTTTCGGCACAAAAATATAGAAGTTGGAAGATTTGAAAACACATCATTCAATTCGATGTGCGATTCGTAATGTCGGTGTTGTTTGACGTGGTTTGAAGCCTTGATTAAGTTCGTATTGTATTTTGGGAAGTTGTTCATTGTATAAGTGATTCATCTCAAAGCGGCTAGACAATCTTCCTCCTTTCATATTTTTCAGTTGCCACCTTTAATTCCGTCCTTTGTGGCATCTTAAGATTTTCAAAAGTGGGCGTGAAATCATTCTAAGTAAAAGTCTTAAGGTCTTATCAATAAATCCCTCTGTACTCAATCAGAAAAAAATATTGCGTGAATAACCCTCATTATTTAGCTTTTAGTAACCTTTTCTGCATACATGTATTTAAGTCTATACATTATTTCAGTTTGACTTCTACATACAATCCCCACTAATGGGAAATGTGGAATAGAAAACAGAGTACTCTGCTTTTTCAAGAAAAGAAACAGTTGAAAATGAAACTAACTTCAATCACGCAATTTCAACTATTAACAATTGTTCATAACCTCAATATTTTTGGTAAAAATATCATGATGTAAGGTCACTATTTCGTTCTAAAATCACATGAAACAAGAAAGATGACCATAGTTTTATATTTTCCTTCTACTGAAATTGCTAAAATTCATCCATGCTCCAGAAGCTCTCAGCTAAAATATCACCATTCATCAGATTGTTTTCTCCACCCACCATTTGATCATAATTATTCAAAAAGTTGCCAGTTGCTGGGCTGAAAGTATCCATATCATAACTGTTGTCGTCAAACGGAAAATGAACATTGACAACAGAATCACCCATCTCACGAGGTGGAAATTTTGGACATTCTGAAATAATGTTGGGAGATTTATTGGTACTCATGGATTCTGACGAAGGTGAACTCGAACTGCAGCATCTGCTGCTGCTGATGCTGTTTCTCTCTAAGCTTAAAACTTGTGGGGTTTGTGTAATTTCTGTGATATTATAAGGACCATATTGTGAATCCAATAATGAAGTCTGTATTGATGGGATAGCAGATGAACCTTGTATCTTCTGAACAAGCCGAGGTATCCAGAGACAGCGAATTATGTGTTGAAATGCTGCACTATTGGAGTCAATCTTCAAATGCTTAGCTTGTTTCTGCACCCTTGTTCTCCAGTAATTCTTGATTTCATTATCTGTTCTTCCCGGTAGATATTGCGCGATTTTTGACCATCTATAACATTGTCAAGGAGAATCACACCAGTTATTATAGTTCAAAACTTGATAAGCTTAAAAACAAAATTGATTTAATACAAGGTTTTCTGAGCAATGACAAGATTAAAGGAGTTGCTAGACCAATATATATACACACTAGCAGGGTCGGAGCCAGAAACCAAGTTACAGGTTCGACCGTTCCTAGTAACTTTAGTTCAAACTCTGTATTTGTCTTAAAAAAATTATTAATATGTACAAATTATTAGTTTAGAACTCAATAACTTAAAAGACTAGAATCCTGAAATCAAATCCTGGCTTCGACTCTGCAGAATATTACTAGAAATGAGGCCTACGACAACGGTTTTAAAGCGGAAAACATTTGCTGTAGCTGGAAGAAGAATCAAAGAGTAGTATACCTGTTACCCAACTTGGAATGAAGTTCAAGAATCAGGAGCTGTTCCTGAGGAGTGAGATTCCCTCTTTTAACGTCGGGTTTCAGGTAATTCAGCCATCTCAACCTGCAACTCTTGCCTGTTCTCTTCAATCCTAATAAATCAAGAAAGTACATGGAATCAGCAACTAATCTAAGTGTCTAAAAGATCAATATATACGAGCAACGGACGAGTGAATTACCAGCACGGTGTGCAAGCATATTCCATCGGCCTTCGCCATGTTGGGAAATGTAATTGACGAGGAGACTGTCTTCTTCAACAGTCCATGGACCTCTTCTCAATCCAACTTCATCATCACTAGAGCTGCTTGAACTTTTAGACAAGAAAGACATGTCTGTTTCCATTGAAAGATCTTAGTACTGAAAATTAAATGTGCTAAAAAGACAAAAGTGGACTACTTAATATATGATTGAAGCAAGAGTGGCTAGCAGCCAACTCAGATCTATAAGTGTACAGATTTTTTAGACTCACCACTTTCTACTATATATATAAGTAGATGCTGCGTCGAACTTGCCTCAAGTTAATTTCCAAAAGTCTTGAACCAATAAAGGGCAGCCACAAGGGTCCGGGGAAGGGTCCGACCACAAGGGTCTATTGTACGCAGCCTTACCCTGCATTTCTACATGAGGCTGTTTCCACGGCTCGAACTCGTACCAGTTACGCCAAGGCTCCCTTGAACTAAGTAAAAGGTACAGAACGTAATAGAAAATTTAGAGGACCTTTTCATATATTAGAAAAATAAATTAGATTCCTAAGTCAGTTAGAAGTTAAAAGTAGGTGCATTAAGGTGACTTCCACCTAGTTATAGTGCCTAATTATTAATCAAAACACTTATGTTTAATTAAATATGACTAATGGTGTTCACAGGTCCTATAAAATATAGCGTCAATGTGAAACTATAGGCACTTTCTGTAGAATTCCAAACTGAAGATAAGAAGAGGTGGTGATAAACTTGTCGATAAGGACACAAAAAGTTATCAAATGTAGTTTTACTGGAACGGGCGGGGAATGAGTTGTATTAAAAATATTTATTCGCACTCGGTGTTTGCCACTATACTAGGTAGGGGTGACAAAATGGTTCAAAGAAAACAGTTAACCACCCATATTATCCACTAAAAAATGGGTTGGATAATGAACTTTTTAAAAACGGGTCAAATATGGATAAGAACCATATTATCTATTTAGAAAATGGATAACCAGTGGGTCTAACTTTTACATTTGTATAGGGAGACTAAGAATTCTCCCAAAAGTGATCATATACAAGAAGTCATGGATAATATGGGTAACCCATATTATCCGCCGGTTAACCTGTTTTTTATCCGTATTAAATATGGGTCGGGTCGGATAATTGATCTGTTTTTTCATTACCCGTTTTCGACCCGAACCATATCCGACCCGACCCGCCCGCTTGCCACTCCTAATACTAGGTAATTTAACCATAAGAATCTGCAAATAGAAATGGAAAATAGCGCTTAATCTTAGTCAATTGATAGTCGTTTAATGGAGGATATATATATATATATATATATTTGTTTGATGTAAATACTGAGTATTTATAATTTTATTTTGGGTTGAAGAAGTGTGTATGTTTTCAAGATTCTCCACTTATAAACGTGGTTGACTGAAACACATGTATTAGAACAACTGCATCCAGAGTTCACTAAACAGTAGTTATAAAACGTGGGAATTTGTATGTTAGCCCAAGAAGGAGGCGCTGCTTGGATTTTCAAAACAAGTTCCCCACTTTAAATCTTGGATTCCTTGCCAAATGCCAATGATGTCGACTTATGGTGTTATTTGTGTGGTTCTTGCTTCTTCAAAGGCCATCACAATACTCAGAATAATTACAAACTTTTCCATTTTATTGAATAGTCCTGCAATTCGGCTATATTTGACTCAAATATTTCAATTACATCATTTATTTATTTATTTATTAAGTTCAACAAGAAATGGTTTATTCCATAGCAAGGGAAGTTCTTTTTGTTGTGATCTTGAGTAAGCTCCCATTCCTCTGGATTCAGCTGACAAGGCTAATTTACTAGAGGAAAGACAAATCACTCAACAAGAAGTTGAGAAACTTTGGTGAGTAAATTTGATAGAGGTATTCTATATAAAAATATATCACAAAAGAATTTGGCCCAACTTGATTTGAATACTTTAGTAGATCCAGGACTTAGAAGAAAGACAAATAGGAGCAGAAAGTAAGAAGGTTTTTCATTTAAGACCGACTTTCTAGTATCATTTATGTAAAGAGGATACTAGTCACCTCCATATGATGTTTAATAATATTAACAGGTTGTTTGGATGGTTGTTACCCATTGTATTGTATTGTATTGTATTGTTATTCTAAAACAATGTTTGTTTTGATTGTTTATTAAAAATTGGTTGTATCGTATTGTTAAATCCATTGTTCCGGAACAACCAAAAGCACCGTTTTATGAAACAACCGATTTGGTGTGGTGGGATCGTTTCCTATTTACTTTTCCAATTATGCCCTTATTTATTACTCTATAATTCTATTTTATTATTTAATTTTTTTTTATTTTAACTCCAAATCTCCAATCTATTGACCTACTTTATCTTCTTCCATCTTTTCTAGAGTTGGTTTGCCCCGTTCTTTTTATCCAAGTCCCCGTTCAATTCTTCGTCTCTTTCCATTGTTTCAGTTTTCTTTTTTTTTTGCTAATATTAGTTAACCTATTTTTTTTCTCAGGTTTTTGCTCTTGTTTTCAAGCTACGTAATTAATCATAAATTAGAGGTTGTCTTAAAACAATTGGGGGTATTTTAGTGAACTTCTCAGTTACAGTACAGTACGATACAGTCAAACCAAATAACAAAATGTTATTTAACAACAGTAAACGATACAATGTATTCAAACGTTGTATCCATAAAACGATACAATACAATACAATACAATACAGTACAATACAATACATTATGAAACGATGAGTAACAATGATCCAAACATAGTGTAAGTTGATGCCTTATTCCACCCTTGCTTAATTAGTTTATCTAGTGACTAGTATAAGCCTTTTTTTGTGGGTGGGGTGGGGGGGTGGGGGGTGGGTGGTGGTTGGAATTCCTGATTATTCAGTAGATTAAAACACTTGATTCCAAACCGACCAACTCTGGCAGTCAAACTCAAACCTTTTACTGCCTCAGTTAAGAGTAGCTGACAGCTCTTTCTAATCTTTGATAGTTCTCTATTACGATAATTGGCATGTCTTCATAAACTCAGATTAGGTTAAAAAGAGAAACATTTCTCCACAAAACATTAGTGTCATTGGCTCGAATCCAAGCCCAATTTTCTACAAAGGCCGTAACAATTATTTGAAGATAAACCATGTTGACAAGTCCTGCGGAAGTGTCAAAGAAGGCAAATCACCATAATTTCTCAATCAAAGTGATTAGGCGTGATAAACGGCCGCCATTAAAAAATAAGACAAGTAATTAACCAAATAGTTAAGAGTACAAATCCATAATGCAGTGGTAGAGAACAAGTATCCCATTGCAACCAGGGGCGGATTTAGGGGGGCGGAAGGGGCTCCCTTCGCCGAAAAATTACACTATATGTATAAGGCAAAATGTGTGTTTTACCTCTATATTTTATGTTTTAAATCCCCTTGACACAGCCCAAAAGCATATCTTAGTGGTCAAGGGGGTTCAAAACCTTTGTAAGGTCATTGGTTCAATTCCCACTAGCTTCAAACGTTTTTAACTTTTTTCCTTTTTTGAACCCCTTAGCGAAAATCCAGCCTCCGCCACTGGTTGAACACACTTGCACAAAGCATACTGAAAGCAACTTAAAATCCTATAGTGGCGTTTAAGGACTTAGTATAGGAACTAGATGATTTCCATGAGTTGATTCTCTGGTCACCTGTATGCTGCATAGGAATTCCGCAGCTGAATCTAAACGACTTGCAAAGCACTCGTTGAAGAGCAAACGATGTAACAGGATACCAGATCAAGAATCACTGAGCTCAAAATCTGCATACTTGACACAGTTTTACTCGTGTTCCAGCAGATTAATACTTTCTGTTCAAGTTTCAGTTTTGAGAGACTAAGAACTGTGCAGAAATCATACATACAATTTTTTTCTTGAATGATGTGACAACAACATTTCTTTTTGGATCAGCCAAAATTTCATGCAGAACTCCATTTGAGATGATTTTGAAAAACCTCTATTTAGACAAAGAAGGGCTAAATACCCCACCAGGATTAGCGCATTTTAGAGTAAGACATGAAAGTAGAAGACATTCTGTTGCTCCATAATGTAATCTAGAAAGCTTGTGCCAACTAACAATGTTATGCGTATTAGGGATACACTACCACTAAAATTGATCGTGATGCTTTGAAGACTAAGTGATACAAGAAAGTCATCTTTACAGTCAATCAACTGAAAATGCAATCAAGGGAACCCTCACTTCAAACCTAACAAAGAAAAGGAACAGAAGAGATGATGCCCTTCTTAGTGTGGAACATTTACCTATATGTGTTTTCACCAAATGTTTAAAACAACTCAAGTAATAGATGCTAATTGTCCTAGTACTTGCATAAAATAGATCTGCAACACGAAGACTAGAGAGACTACTCCCAAATTTCTAAAAGAAAAGGATAGCTGTCTACTAACACTAATGGAACTTTTTTACTGTATTTTTGCAGTACATCACATGTCCAGAATGGTGAATGAGAAAAATAACAAAAATAAAACCAAAATGGAGATGAAAGAAACACACAATGTCCAGCAGTAAGGGATCAGCACATATTTATGTACTTATATTCACTACATCTAGTATCAAATATTATGCAGCCACGAGGAGGTGACTGACTGCTTGATCTTAGTTAATTTCATGATTATAATTCATATATCTAAAGATTCGTTCATATCCAATCAACCAAATACTTAAATGCACCAGAAATTAGAAAGATCTTTTTGTCTGTAGATCCTAATCCTCATTTGTTTTTTTTAAGATTAAGACATCTGAATCTGAATACACATCTGAATATCAAGATGTGTATTAAGATTAAGACGTCTGAATCTGAATACACATCTGAATATCAAGATGTGTATTAAGATCTGAATAGAAATAATTAAGACTGTTTGATTTTTAACATCTGAATGTATAAAATTTATCTTTATTTGAAAATTAATAAACATAAAATTCAAATGAAATACTAACTAATCTAATATTCTATCAATAAAATATATAGTTTTTTAAAATATGATAGTTGTTGGTGGTGATGGCTAACGGGTGAATGCCGACTAGAGGCGGTGGTCGGTGGTAGTTTTGGTTGATGATGGTGGTTCATGCTAGTAGCTAGTAGTAGGGGNGATAGTTAATTATATCGGGTGGTGGTAGTAGTTGTGATTGAGGAAGGTGGTGGGTGGGTGATAGTAGGTTATGATGATAGGCAGTGCCGGCTGTGGTTATTGATGGTGATGGGGTGGTCAGTCGCGGTAGTTGAGGCGGATGAGTGTTGATTGTGGGTGAGAATGATGGTGGTCGGAGTGGTCGATAATGGAGGCTATGATTGAGGATGACGGTGGCATGGGTAGGCAGTGACGGCAGTTAATAATGAATATGTGATAGCATCTTAATGAAATTAAGTCTCTGTTATAGATCTTAATCATACAGACCTATTCGGAACCATTAAGTGGTTGTGAAGTAAAAAAAAAAACACACACTTAATGATTAAGATCTGAATAATCAACATTCAGACTTTAAAAACAAACTCACTTAATGTCTGAGATCTGGGATGATTAAGATTCAGACGTGCATTAAGTGCAAACAAATGAGGCTAACTCTCCTGGACTTCACATCTACAATTCATTAGAGACACATCCAAATATTCACTAGCCACAGGACAAGAAAAGGAAATACCACTTTTTGTTAACAGTTGAAGCTATTGGAAAGGGAAAGAATGCTCAGGAAAAAAATAAATAGGAGTATGTGAAATATAGTGGATGGCGTGCATGTTTCTAACAATAACACAAACAATGACTCAATCAAAATTTGGTAATATATATTACTATTAGACAAAACTCTCTGTTAACCATGTCTGGTAAAGAATTAATAACACTTCACCAAACATAAAAGGAGCAAACAGAATAAGACTTCACCTCATTCCTGTAACTTAGATGAATAACCTCATAAAGTACAATAATCACGCAAAACCTGTCGTGCAAGATCCAATGCTCCACTTGTCTTATAGATCAAGTGCAGGTTGTAAGCTGCTTCTCTATGCAAGCTGCAATAACCTGAGTTTCCATTTTCTCTGAGATGTTGGCTTTCAAAAGGAAGCTGGGGAATAGGATAATCCTTTTCCCGAATAGAAAGCACCTTCTCATAATATGAAGCGGCTAAAGACACAAGGCCCACATGATGACATGCTCGAGCTATGTTGAATAATGCTTCTTGACTTTCTCCACAAAGTTTTAGATACTTGAACAGAAATGCCATGCCTTGTACCACACACTGATGCTTATTCTTAAGTCTGACATCAAAGGCTAGATTAATCAATGAAGTCCCAACACAAAGATTAACAAATGGACTATCAGGAAGAAGTTTGTAGGCATGCAGGTATTCTTCTGCAGCAGCTTGATATAGGCTGCCCATACTAAACTGATGCCCTGAAATGATAATTGGAGGTACACATTCTTTCTCCTTTTCGCGGATCCTACGCAAGAATCGGGAATGCTTATGGCGATAAATCTCCATTTTGGATAGTGCTTTAAAGTAGTAATTCCACACTGATATTTTGTGAGGATGTCGCTGAAGAATATCTCTGAGAAAATCATACCCACGTCTAGGATCTATCACATTGTATGCCATCTGAGCTCCAAGAAGTGTAAGCTCTTCAATATTGTCAGATGATATCGCATTAGAAGAAAACTGCATGATCCATTTACAAACATCCAATGCTTCTTCATGTTTCCCTAGAGACGCCAACGCTTTGGCCAAGTCAATAACAAGCTGATGATTTTCCTCATCTCTTAAGAGCCAAGGAGTTGGGAGTTTCTTCTTCTTCTTTGGCCAACATTCATCGTCTGACTCTTCACTTTGCCAGTCCACACCAGCAGCTAATGCTTTCAATTTCAGTTCCTCCTTCAAATTTGTTCTCTGTTGAAGGAGCCTCTTTGCTCTAGCAGCTTTTTCACGCTCAGCAGCAGTAACTGCTGGTTTAAATTTCTGAAATAGGTTGTCGATCTGATTGTTTTCCAACACTCTAGCTCTTTCAATCAGCTCACTCGTTGAAAGCTTTTTCTTTTTAGAAACCTGCTCCTCTGTTGTTTCAGAGGTGATTAATTGACTAGCCAGGGGAAAAAATACATCTACAAACTCTTGAAGCATATTTTTAGTCTGATAAATCTTAGCAAGCTTTAATCTTACTTTCTCATCATACCACCAAAACTTAGACTTCTCGCTGCATGAATCTGCCCCAAAATCTATAACTGGTGGAGAGAGCAATGATATGGCTTCATTTTCCTTCTTTTCTTCAAGAAGAAGAGAGGCTAAATTTATTCGCACATCAACATTGTCCTCAAGTGAATGTACAGCTCTGTAGAAGAATCCAATTGCCTCTTCCTTTTTCTCCAATGACAGGTAACATTGTGCAATTTTCAAATTCAAGATTCCATCACCAACTCCCTGGTTTCCTTCTAACATCAAATAGTAATGTAAAGCATATTCATAGTGCTCAAGAATCTTTAATGTGTCTGCAATTTCAACAACTGAATCAACATTATCATTTGCATTTTCTAGTCCAAAAGCCTTCAATAAGATTTCAGCTTTACTCAGATTTCCAAGATAAATGTGGCAGATTCCTGCTTTTGCTATTAGATTCAATGGCCATTCTCTCCCCATAAAACATCCTTCAATATGTTGAAGAGCTTTAGCATATTCTCCATTTTCAATGCATATACTAGCCAGCATATCAATAATTATTGGATCAGCATCCGTTTTGCGATATTTAAGATAATCCTCCAGCATCACAAGGGAATGTTCAGTTTTACCAATTTGCTTATACAACTTTGCTGCCGATATGCATGCTTCAATATTGTCTGGATTAATTTGAAATACTTTCTCATATGCCTTGGCAGCTTTCTCATATTCTTTCAACTCACTGTAATGGGATGCAGAAAGGAGTCTGAGTGAAATATCTTCAGGTTCTGCAGCTATTGCCTTAGGAAGGTACTTATTCACATCAGCAGCATTCCCTTGTTCTAAAGACCACGAGAGAAGCAACTTCCACAATGAGGTGTCTCGTGGCATAACTAAAGCGGCAAGTTCATAAAAATACATGGACTTTCTCTTTTCACCAATTGCATCATATACAACAGCAAGTGTATGATATGCATCAGGTGTAGGTTCTAGCAGAATAACTTCATGTAACAGTTTCAATGCCTCTGTATATTTACCGGCAGCATAGCAAAGAGTGGCTTCCCCTAATAACTTTCTGGCCTCAAGATTTACCTTATTTCTGGATCCTTTTGGCCTTCCCGCTCGTTTATCCTTTTTGCGTTTCCTTTTACTTCCAGAATTCATGGCTTCCATTATTTCATCAAAACTAGCACCAACAATATCTTCCTCTTCACGTTTCTTTTTGGTTTGTTTATGCTGGCAATCAGCTAATGCTTTTCTCTTTCTTTCAGCAAGTAATTCATAATTATCGGCAGGTAATAAATTAACAGAAACACCTTCAAATTCTTCTTCTTCAGCACTATCCTGGCTGTCATATTTATCTTCACAGTCATCTATAGCTGCTGCCCCTTCAGAGCCATCGCTTTCCACGGAGCCCATTTTAACCAAATAGACCAGTTGTTTTTATTGTTCTCCTATTGCCCCAATTACTGTTAAACTATAACTGCATTAAGTCAAATTAAAACCTGCAAATAAATGATGCACATGTTTTAGTCCAGAAAAATAATGGAATGATCTTGAAGCTTATTAAAATGAAACAACCACAAATAGATGCATGTGTTAAATTATCTAGCCTTCATGCCTTTCATCATGTTGAACTTGATTCCAGTTAGAACAGAATCCAAAAACTCAGAGCCATCCCTTTCCACCAGGGGCGGATTTAGGGGGGCGGAAGGGGGTTCACCCGAACCCCCTTCGCCGAGTTTTGAATCTCATTAACACAAGCCAAAAATATAGCTTAGTGGTCAAGGGGGTTCAAAACCTTTGTAAGGTCATTGGTTCAATTCCCCATTGGCGCAATTTCTTTTAATTTATTAACTTTTCTCTTTTTTGAACCCCCTTAGCGGAAGAGGCAATGCTTTCCACAGAACCCATTTTAACCAAATAGTCTTGGTTTAATTGTTCTCCTATTGTGCCAATTATAGTTAAACTAGAGCTGAATTAAACCAAAGTAAAACCTGCAAATATATGATGCACTTCAGTCCAGAAAAATAACATGAAACAACCACAAATAGATGCATGTGTTGTATCATCATCCTTCATGTATAACCAAAAGCCAACTAAAAACTCAAAGAAATTCAGATATGAACATTAAGCAGATCAAATTAAGACTCTGAGCACTACTGAAATAATAATAATAAAAATTGCATTTTTTCCCACTCTAACATCAACAACAATAAACCCACTATAATCCTACAAATGGGGTCTCGAAAGAATAGTGTGTACACATGCCTTACCCCTACCTTGAAGGTAGAGAGGCTATTTTCGATAGGCCCTCGGCTCAAGGAAAGATATTTCTTTTTCCTCTCTATATGCAGATAATATGAAATTGAACCACTGATCATCAACAGCCATGCCTTTTTTTTTTCTCAGAATAAACTATGTTACTATTTCTCTATCAATCCTTCACATTTAGTCCGAGGTGACGCTTATTTACAGCACAACAAGTAGCAAGCGACTATTACTACGACCAATGTTACCTTAACAATGGCAAGAACAGAGCGCAAAGGTCTCTAGGGTTTCTTTATACTTGAAATTCTCCGATAGAAGAAACGGAATCGACTCTATAGACGAAAAACAAAATAGAGATCAACTGAAAAAATTGAAAAGCGGTTTTCAAAATCGATTTCAAGAGAAACAGTAGTAACAGATTTCTAGCTAAATTTTTTTGGATTAAATAAAAAAGAACGCTAGAAGGAGGGTTCGAACCTCCGACCTTATGGTTAACAGCCATACGCTCTAACCAACTGAGCTATTCCAGCTTTGGTGATGCTCCAGGTTGTATAAGTTTAGATCTGGAATCGACGACTTTTACGATTGTCTCCCTCCCTTAATCGGGTATTACCATTTTTTTTTAAATACTTTCCCCATGTAGAAATTTAAGGTTACTTTATTGTATGGTCGTGGAACTTGATTTTCTGAATCGGTGAAATTACAAACATTTTTTTTTATTAAAATAAGAAAATTGAATTATGTAAATATGCAGAAAATATTACCAAATGTCTACCTTTTGGGTTGAGTATAGAAGTGAGATGAGTTGGATTTGTAATAATCAGGGGCGGCTAAAGAACACTGGAGGCCTACGACCAAATTAATTAGAAGGCCTCAAACTTTTGAAAGAAATTCATATTGAGTAACTTGGTTAATATTTTATTGTTGACAAATGTGTATGATCTGATAAATAACAAACAAGTAATATGTTGTTATGAAGTAAAAATATAAAAAATAACAAATTTCAAATTTAAAGAACAAAATTAGAAAGTTAGAATAATACAACTTGATATTATAAGTTTAGAATTTGATATCAGAATAAAATTCTATTGTTTCAATTTCTTTGTTGTAATTCTTGAGAACTAGAGATTGAATGAAAAAATATTTTATTTTTTTGAGTAATAATAGGATTTATATTACTTTAGAGATTGACATATTACATGCCATATTGTTTGCAGAAGTAGCCCTAGGGGTAGATATCCCCGCATACAAAAGAGTACTATTAATAGTAATATTTTGGTTGCCTAGTGTTCTAAGCATATTAAAAATAGAAATAAGCACTTGCATTGTAAAACTACTTTCTCTGCACATATTCTTAGTAAGATATTGTTTCACAAAATGTGGGGCATCCGCAAAAAGTTTTGTGGTTCCTGGTTTATATTTTCCTTGTTTTTTGCTTCCTTGGTAGAGCGTCCGCCACTAAACTTCCTTGTCTGTAATTATGTCGAAGTAGAAGGCCCTTCTCCTAGCGCATTAATGACCTGCATGAGTGTTAGATTAGCTAATATTGCATGTCCATTATTAATAGCATTTATTACTTCCGTTGAGTCTGTTTCTATTTCTAGCGGAAATAGATCAAACCTGATCGCCAATTGAAAACCTTCCTGGAGTGCCTGCAATTCAATGTGTAAGGAAAATAGACCTTGGCAGTATTTGTTAAAGCCTAATATCCACTTCCCAGTGTTGTCCCTAAATACACCACCTATTCCACAGTTTTGAGTTGTAAATGCACCATCTATGTGTAATTTTATCCAGCCTTTCTGGGGTGCATGCCAAGGAATTTGAATAGTAATGGTTACTTTTGGATGCGGATTTGTAGTGGTCATGAAGTGAAATTCAAGGGAGTGATTAATGATATTTTGAAGTGATGGCCTATGGGTATTGTTATTGGTATTGTTACTATTCCTATTTAGCCATATTCCCCATATTAGGAAGGGAAGTAGGTCTTCCCATTCAATATGAGATGGTTTCATGCCCGGCCTAAGATTTTTAATGTGCATTAGCCAGTGTTGTGAGATGGTAGGGATTAGGTCTAAGGGTGTTAAACGGGCCGGGTTGACCCGTAACCGGACCGGCCCAGACCGAAAAAAACCGGAACCGGACCGGCCCGGTACAAAGAGGCCGGGTGGGGCTGGGTAGGAGGGGTAGAGGGGGTTGGTCCGTTTAGTTTTTTTAAACGGTTAACCGGCCCGGTACAACGGCTATAATTTTTTTTTTCCGAATTATGTGGGGCCCACTGACCGTTGGCAACGATCAGACCTGGAATTGATCCGTTGGCCAATGGGAGAATTGCAAAAATAGCCTTTTTTTAAATTTTAACCCTTTTTCAATTTACAAAATTAACCTTCTCTAAAACTATAAATATCCCCCCCCCCCCCCGTCTTCATTTCTTCACTCAACTCTCATTTCTCAATCTCAATTTCTCTCATTCTCTCATTCTCCAATTTTCAAGTCTTCAATTTATCTTCTAATTTTATTTGGCTCTCTTTTCTTGAATTTAATTTATCGTGTTTTATCATTCGAATTTTGAAGTTTGAACAATTGAACTTCAAAATTGAAATACTTGCTTGACGTTTATTCGTGGTAACATCGAAATTGCGTAATCAAGTGCTCAATTTATTATCGAATTCGGTGCACTCCCTCCAACTCTTTCTCTTATTTACTATTTTAATTGCATATTTAATTTTAGCTTATACTTTAATTTTTACAATATGTTGAATGCTGCTAAAAGAGCGTGTAGAAAAGTTACTGGTAGGGGAAATAAAAATAGAGGCAGTCCTTCAGCATCCGGTAGTAATAGTAATAACCCATTAACATTTACACATGTTTCCGAAACATCGCCTGATGATAATATAGATTATGAACAATTACAAGAAGATTTTGGAATAGAAGATAATGAATTAGGAATGGAAAATGAGATACCAGCTACACCTACTAGTGCTGGAGCTGGTAGTGTTGGAGTTGCTGCAAGGGGTGGTGGTCGTGGCACTAGTAGTAGACCACCCGTGGCTTCGACTACTAATCGTAGAAACAGAAGTAAGGTTTGGAATTTTTTTGAAATAATAGAAGGTACTGATAGAGTTAAATGCAAACTTTGTAAAGGTAATTTTAAACATTTGAATGGAGGAAATTTAGGGGGGACTAGGACGCTTAGTAGACATATGAGAACTGAGCATCCCATAGAATGGGGCGCTGATGGTGATGGAAATCAAACAACTCTTAACCCTACTAATGGAGGTCTAGTGAAATATGATAAAATGAAGGATCGTGAGGAGTTAGCAAAAATGATTGCTTTGGGTTGTCTACCTTTTTCTTTTGCTTCTTCATCATATCTTATTATGTATATTCAAAGGATTTACAATCCTTTATTTAAAGGTATCCCTAGAAGTACTTGTAGAGCTGATATCTTTAGACTTCTGTGACGACCCAACCCGTCGTCTCATGTATTATAGCCCCATTTCCCCCATTTATTGCTCTTTCATGTTTTATTATCAGCAACGGGTGAGTCAGAGTTGAATTTAATTGGTTTGGATAGGAAATGAGACACTTAGTCTCTTTAAGGAAGGTTTGGTTTGAAAAAGTCAACCGAACGTTGACTTATTAGTTAGAAGGCTCGGATGTGAATTCCGGTGATTCGGTTAGCTGCGGGAGGTGATTTGTGACTTAGGAGTGCGATCAGAATTGATTTTAGAGGTCCGGTGTAGAATTAGGCTTGAATTGGCGAAGTTAGTATTTTGGCGAATTCCGGTTGATAGGTGAGATTTTGATCCGAGGGTCGGAATGGAATTCCGAGAGTTGCTGTAGCTTCGTTTGGTGATTTTGGATATGTGTGTAAAATTTCAGGTCATTCGGACATCGATTGGTCGGGTTTTTGATCGAATGCGTAATTCGGAAGTTTTTAAGAAACTTAGGCTTGAATCCGATGTGATTTGATGGTTTTAGCGTTGTTTGAAGTGTTTTGAGGATTGGAACAAGTTTGAATAAGGTATTAGGATGTGTTGGTGTTTTTGGTTGAGGTCCCGGGGGCCTCGGGGTGAATTCGGGTGGTTAAACGGAAGGTTTTTTGGAGTTAATTGCAGGTTGAACCTTGCTAGTATCTATTGGTTTCGCACCTGCGGTTATGGGACCGCAGGTGCGGTTTTGCTGAAGCGATTGGAGGATGCGCAGAAGCGGAAGTCTTGGCCCTTGCCAGATTCCGCAGGAGCGGAAGGAGGACCGCATAGGCGGCCTCGCAGAAGCGAGCTAGACCTCGCAGGAGCGGAATTTGGAACCCTGGTCAGGTTCCGCAGAAGCGGAACATTGGATCGCTTAAGCGGTCCCGCAGATGCGATTGGGGACCGCAGAAGCGGAAGGTTGCCTTAAGTGAAAGGTCCGCAAAAGCGGACGTTGACCGCATAAGCGGAAGCCGCAAAAGCGGTACTGGATCCGCAGAAGCGAAATGCCTAGCAGTTAAGTGAAATTAATCATCTTCGCGAATTTTTGAAAGAACAACATTTTGGACTTCGGACTAAGGAGGTTTTGGGCGATTTTTGAAGAGGGTTTCGAGGGCTATCATCAGGTATGGATTCTTGGGCTTAGATTATGTTATTATTGTGTATAAACATGAATTAACACTGAAAACCCAAGGAATTAAAGGGTAAAAATGGGGTAAGTTAGGGTTTGAGAATTTTGATGTAAAAATGGAATTTGGAGGGTCAAACGAACTCCGATTTTGGTGAACTTTATATGTATGGACTCGTGGCGAGACGAGGAAATCGGTGTGTGAATTTTGTAATTTTTCGAGAAGCGGGCCCGGGGCTCGGGTTTTGCTAGTTTAGAGATTTCTGCTATTTCTTGGTTGTTTTCGATTGGGTATTGTTCCCTTGGCATATTGTAATGTATTCGCTCTGATTTTGGTTAGATTCGACGCGCGTGGAGGCCGGTTTGAGGGGCAAAGGCGTCGAGAGCTGGAGATTTCACCGGTTCGAGGTGAGTATACTTGTAAATGATATCCTGAGGGTTTGAAACCCCGAATTTGCACATCATAGTGCTGTATTGTGGTGACTTGCACGCTAGGTATGAGCGCGGGGTAGAGCACCGTTGGGGATTGCGACTTGGTCCGTCTCGGTTGTTGATTTTACTGCGTAACTGACTGAAACCTATTTGATGCTATCGTGATTTGGGTTGATTGCCATGTTTTGGGCTTCGTGCCGATTATTTGAATCCTTTAGGGATTATTATCACTGTTTTCATGACACTTAGCATATTAAATGATTTCAGTCCTGAGTTAAACCCTGTTTTGAAATGTGCAGTCATATTGTTAAAGTTTAAAGACTTAAATTGCATTTTCTGATGTT